AGTTTTGCACTCCTGGGTGCCTCAGAAACGAAAAAGTGGTTAGGCTGAAAGATAAATACCAACTAAGCGGAACAATATATAGATGAGGCCACTGAGTCTGGCATATTTTCTGCAAAGAATTTGTTATTAACTTACTGATTCCTTAGTGTGCTCTAAAAGGTTGCTGTATAATTTTTAAAATATCTCTGAATTATGATGACAGCAAAGAATGATAAGTTTAAAAATAATTATTCTTGGGCCGGGGATTTAGCTCAGTGGTTTTGCCGCCTGCTGCGCAAGGGCAAGGACCCAAGTTTGATCCTCGGTACCCTCCACCCCAAAATTATTCTTTGAAAATACACTTTTTGGGGAGTGGAGGTATCAATACAAGGCAAATTAAACACAAGCAGTGTCCACAAATGAAAATATTGAGTTCTTCACTATCAAAAGCTGACAACATCCAGAACAGTCCAAGGCAGACCCCTGTAGCTGACAATTTTTAAATGTTGGTGAGAATTGGCCCCCTGTGGGATGGATGTAGACACAGAGAACTGCAGGCCATCAGTCCCTGCCCTGTGGTGCCTGATGACAGAGGCCAAGGAAGCCCCCAGCCTATGTGAGCAGAGCCCCGGGAAAGTGTAACTTGCTCCTGGAGTTGGTGACAATAGCTCTATAATCCTGTACAATCCAAGATCTCATCAGAGGTCTGTGGAAAAAGAGGCAGGCTCTTTTTGTGAGCACACAAAGGCCCTTTCCAGAGGCCTCAGGTAAGAGGCCTCTAAAAAGTACCCTGTGGCGATGAACCATTTTTTCAGCAACAGAAGAAACTTCAGTAAAAGAAGTGGCTCAAAAAGCCATTTCCCCGGCAAATCCATTAAACGTGAATATTCATACTCCAGTGTAAAACATCAGGAGGGCCTCCCAGGACAAATACACACAGCACAACTGCCTTTCCCCAGACCTATGGGGGCAGCTGGAGCTGACTAAGCCAACCCTTCACGGAAACTGTGCTTCTAGAAAAATCTTCAACCACGGCAGGGCACTTCCACAATCTCTCAGTTACAGATTATCAGTGGGAAGCTTTAGGAAAACAAGCCTCAACTTTGTACTCTCTTCAGTGGGAGAGACCCTTCATGGGGTCCAGTGAGGTCACTTTCTTCCAAGTTGTGGGTGTGGGGGTACAAACCCCCACAAAGTGTGAGTCCAATGGGGCTTGGAACCCTGAATAAAACTCTGACACACAGCAGCAATGCCAGGTCCAGACAGCTCGAAGGTGATTATCCATTAAAGCAAGGTTTAGAGGAGACACAGCCAGATACAAAGAAAGCTTGTGACCTGAGTTCACCTAAGAGAAGACAGAATCCAAATCAAGTTACAATCTGCCTGCTCCAATCTTATTTGCTTTATCCACTGAGGAAATCCTTGAAGTAAATGCATCTTTATCACAACTATGTTTATTTTGATATCTGAATGCGCTAGTAAAATTTCAGGGACAGAATGATTTACATAAAAACTATACTTTTAAAAGAAAAAAATTAACTTCCATCCATATATTTACATTTATCTTATGTTTTGGGGGCGTTTTTTTGGTACCGGGGATCAAACTCAGGACCTAGCACTTTTGAGGCAGGTGTCGGAACCACTGAGGTAAATCCCCGGCCCTTTATCTTATGTTTTTAAGGCACCTAAACAAATTCCAACAGGGTCTGCTCTTGGAAATTAAATTCTGATATCTTAATTTAGGGCATTAAAACTTGATTTTTATTTTATTATTATTTTGTTTTGATTTTTTTTGGTTTGTGGCAGAGTCTCCCTTTGTAGTTCAGGCTGGCCCTGAACTCACTATGTAGCCCAGGCTGGCCTCAAACTTGCAGTGATCCTCCTGCCTCAGCCTCTTGAGTGCTGGAATTACAGATGTGTGCCACCACGCGGCTAAAACTTGATTTTTAGGTCCACAAGCAACTGTGCTATCAAATATACAAAAGAGAGGAAAGATTTCTTCAGAAACTTGGAAAGCATTAACATTGGAACTTTTTGTGCCATATTAAGACAGGAATTTGTCACAGCATTACAGTCTAGATAAAACTAATCCTAGTATTATTTTATATTTAAAATACAGGGGGCAGGGATTTAGCTCAGTGGTTCTGGCGCCTGCCTCGCAAGCGCAAGGACCCGAGTTCGATCCCCGATACCAAAAAAAAATTTAAAAAAAAAATACAAACTTTAATATAAAAACATTTGGTTCTTATACAAATGTGTTTGTGGACTCTGTGCTAGGCCATCTGCCAGAAATTCATGCATTATTGCCCTTCAAATGGTTCAGCTGAGCCACTCTAATCCTGCTAATTACCCAGATACCTGAAATCTGAGAGGATCTTTTTTGATGCCTATATTGAATGCCACGGTGGGAAAGGTATCTTCTGTGTGCATTAGAGATGACAACAGAGCAGAAATAAAACAGCCTGCAGATACACTCAAGTTTAATTTTAAAAAAGGATGTTTTGTTCAAAGTAACCCAAGAAGCTCTTCTGATTTTAAACTCCTCTTTTATCCAGTACAGAGTTTCCACCAAATTTTTTTTTACATTAAAATTAATCCTGAACTTGTAAAAAGGAAAGCATTTGTAACAGCATGCTCCTTATCAGAGATAAGGCTGTGCAAAAACCTCAATGGCTTTAAGTAATCAGATCTATTGTGTTATAACTTCAACTTCAAATAGGTTTGGAATACCAATTGAAATGGAAATGAAAAGAAGAAAGGTTTCAGACCTGCAGCAAACAAAGCCCTCCTCCTTGTCCATTTCTCTTTCAACTCAGTAAAGTAAAAGAAGCAAACACTTTCCTTTAGGAGCAGAAACAAAATAGTGCCAAGACTCAGAAGCTGGCTATACATCTAAGGATAGCCAAGTTATCAGCCACGGAAGCTAAAATCTCTCTCAAGCATCCTGATGTTTATTTTGGGCTCCAAGGCAAACAGCTCCCTTCTAGGAAGTGCCCTGGGCTGAAAGCTGATGGCTTCACTTAGAAGGCTGTGCATCCCCGCAGGAGTCCTCAGTGATACCTTCTTTCCTAACCACACCTCAGCCTGTTTAGCTTATTAAATTAGCACCTTCTTTTCCAAGTCCTTCAATATCTTCACTAATCAAATATCAGTTGGGTTACAGCAGTCCTGGGCTAATTATGACAGATGCCACAATTTGACTGTCAGCACAACCACACAGGGAGAAAACAAGTGGTCCTGCTTGGGGGTGCCCTTTGAACCTCTGGCATGGCTCCTCCATGACCACTACCTTCATTTTGGATAGAGATACAGGAAGGTCTGTATGATTCACAGTCAGCTCTGAAGCCCTTCAGGTCCTGAGGTGCCCTTTCTTGTTCCATCATGGGTTCCTCCCTGGATGTGTTAATGACATCACCCAAATGTGTTAGGTTTCTATATAAAATTCAATTACTGCGATTATCTCACAGGGTATAGGTCAGAAGTCTGGGCAGCTTGACTGGTTACTCTACTCTGGGTCTCAGCCACAATCAAAGTGTTGGTTGTGGGACTGCATAACCTTTGTTCCTTTTCTCCAGCCCCATTGTGATTAAATGTGAGTTAATGGATAAAGATGCTTGTTAGTTTTGGGACACTAGATAAAAATCTGTAACAGACCTAAAGTCCCAAAGTAAACTACTCAACTCCTTGTTTGCCCGGAACTGATGTTCCGGACACCAAAATCTATAAAACAAGCTGCAAATGTCTGCTGACCATCAATACGTGACAGTCGACCACTAACCTTTGTCCCCTTTTCTTTAATTCTATATATTAACTTCCCCCTCAACCCCCTATAAGAACAGCCTCGGACTCTGAGCCAGTAGCCTCTCTAAGCTATTTTGCTTTGGGAGTGCTGTCTGGCCAGACTAATAAAGATCTGTTTTACTTTCCAACTTGTCTGGTGTGTTCCTTCCCGGGTGTTCTTTGCTGCAGTCAGCTCCTCAGAGCTTTTGGTAAGGCCCTCGGTCTTACAGGTCAGCAAAGATTCTCACCTGAAGATTCTGGGGGAGAATGTGTCTTTAAGTTTTTGGCAGAATTCAGTTCCTTACAGTCCTGGATTGAGGACTAAGGTGCCTATCTCCTCAGTGGTTGTCAGATGTGAGCCTCTCAGCAACACAAAACCACAGGTATGTCTTGCTATGCTGCCACCCTCACATTCCAAGACTGAAATGACTCCTTTACACCTCCGTACTCTCTGATTTGCCCTTATGTTGTAGCTTCTGCTTCTAGGTAGAGTGATTTCTGTGTTATGTGATTAGATTGGGTCCATCCCAATAATTCAGAATAATTTCCTTATTTTTTTTTTTTGTACCGGGGATTGAACTCGGGACCTTGAGCTTGCGCAGCAGGCGGGTAACCTCCTTAATTTAAAAGTCTGTCATAGGTTCCAAGGATTAGGATGTGGGTGTCTTTGTTAGACCATTCTGCTCACCACACCAGGTATATGGGATGAGGATGAGGAATAAACAGCTAAGGAGGGAAGCAGAAGTCACAAACTTCCTGCTCCCTGTATTTCCCTAAAAACATCTGTGCAGAACATCCTTTCTCTGCTTTCCAGGCAGAGAAAAGGGGCAGATATGAGGTGAATCTTCTTCCCAGGACTCTGGAGGCCACATGGGCAATGGTGTGACCCTTAGCTCTCATTTCTGTCTGACATGGTGGTGAATATAAAATACCTCTGTACAAAACTGGGGAAGAAAATCCAGCACCAAGGTTGTCATGTAAATAACAGGTAAGTTTCCCTACAACGAAAAGAAAGCTGCTCTTACTATTCACATAGTCCTCACGTTACAAATGAGCCCTATAACTGGGGTCAAGTGATCGGCTCGAGTAAGAAGGTTCCAGATTTGTGTGTGGCTCTGAGTAAGCCACCTCTCTTCTCTGGTCTCAGTCCCTTGCCTGTAGGGGCGGAGCTAAACCAGATCAGCATTTATCAACATGTGCCATGGAGCCACAACAACATTGTAAAAGGCTCTGAGAACTTCTGGAATGAACAAGCTAGTTTATTCAACAGCAAATTATTTTCCTCTAAGCAATAGTATTCACAGTGCAGTGTTATAATAACACAGTCCCTCAGTCATTTCCTAGTCAGCAAATGTTTATTGAGCATATACTATATGGCAGTTACCAGGGAAATAACAGCAAACAGGACACAATCCTTGCCCTCGAAGAGCTTCAATTCTAGTGAAGAGCATTGGTTGGTGGCAATCACAGGCAGAATACTATTTGGAGACATCTGGATGTCTGAGCAGGGCTGTCCCGAGGAAAAAAAGCCAGACTTGTCCTGTGGGGTCTGGAGGCCCCTGGGTCCCTTAGGGAAATAAGGGGAGGCCTGGAGTTTGTTAAGCAGACCTGGGCTCAAATCCTCCACTTGCACTTACTGACCATGGCCCTCTTTGCATGTTATTTAACAACATCATTTGTTCAATACGAGAAACAGTACCAGCTCAAAGGTTTCTGTGGGAAAACGTCTGAAAATACCTGGAATAAGATTTGACATGTCAGTTCTTCTACCAGTATTAGTACTCTTTAACTTTTCTTTCCAAGTTAGGGATATTACACTTGGTCAACCTTTGTTCCGTGTCATTCTTAGCACTTCAGGTTTTTCTTGTAGGGCACTGGTTAGGCATATGGATACATTTCTTGACCAACCCTCTCCCCAACTGATAGCTTTTCTGACCAAACACAAATCCTGACCATGACCTTCTTCTCACCTGGGAGGAAACATTTTATGCTTGTAGAGCCTAGTGTGAGCAGTATTTTGTTTCTGAGAGATATAGTTTACAATCTCTCCTCTTCAGTAATATTTTATTGTAACTCCTGTGGCAGAGAATGTAGGTTGGCCCATTCAAAACACCTTCAATCATTTTTCCCTTGTCTTCTAGTATGGAGGCAGCAAAGCTCAATACTCAGTCTCTGCTCTCACTTAAAACTAGCTGACATATGACACAACTATGGCCAATGAGACTTTAAAAGACCCTTCATCTTTTACCCTCTCCTTCTTGATTCCTTCTTCCTGCTTGGATATTGAGGATGCAGCCATCTTGTGACTACAAGAGAACAAGCGTGGTGGTGCATGGCTGTAGTCCCAGCACTCAGGAGGCTGAGGCAGGAGGGTCAACACAAGTTTGAGGCCAGCCTGGCCTACATAGTGAGCTCAAGGACAGCCTGAATTACATGAGACTCTGTCTCAAAAAAAAAAAAAAAAAAAAAAAAGGCCAATAAGGAAGGCAGAAAGAGAGCAAGGCCAGATTTCTTTTTTTCTTTTTTTCAGGCCAGGTTTCTGACAGCTTTGTTGAGCCATGCCTGTGCCAGGATGCCTGCCTCAAGCTTCTTCTTATGTGAAGCAAATTCACATCTCATTTGAGTCAGATTTAGAGGGTCTTCTATAATCTGAAACAAAACACACCTCTAATCAAAACCCCCCCTCAGGGACACTTGACATTTATTGCCTCTTCATTTTTTCTGCTCTGAGTAATATGTTTGTCTCGCTAAGGTCTGACAACCACGAGATGAATTTTTAGCACCTTCACTGCTATGAAGTAAGAATGCCCCATGGCTCTTTACAGAAAAGGCATGGGCTCCTGCTGCTTTACACAGGTCATGTCAGGCTGGGCCATAGAAGCTCCGAGAAGCAGAAGCTTCAACTGCAACTGGCATTGCCAGTTTTTGACTGCTTGGGGGAAATTTGTACTAAAAAGCTCACAATACAGGCACTCTCCTGGAAGAGAACAGCTCGATCTACAAATGGCTATCTAGAGTTACAGCCCCAGAAATGGGATGCCTTTCAATCTCTCCTGAAAGGAAGTCTTGTGAAACGGAGATCTGAAGTCGATATCACCATTAATGTCAATGTACAGTGCATGAACTCAAAACTTAAAGAGGCAAATACAGATAACCCCAACTCATATTTCAGGAGTGGGCAATCTCTGCTGCATTTGTCAGCTTTCTGTTGCTAGGATAAATAAATAATATCTGACATATAACAGTTTAAAGGAGGAAGGGTTATTTTGGCTCAGAGTTTCAATGATTTCAGTCCATAGTCTGCAGGCCCCAGGGCAGACACATGGGGTAGAGGGATATGGCAGCACAAAGCTGTGCTCATAAAGACACACCCTCCCAAGGCGCACCCCCAGTGATCTACTTTCTTCATTGAGGCCCCACTTCCTAACAGCCCACTCTCCATGGCTAACCCCTCACAATCCAATCCCCTCTCTAGGGATCTCTTAAACAAGTTGAGGAACAAGATTAACCCTCATACTTGCCATGTGCTGAGAAAAGGTGTCTCTGGTCTTGAAAGGGCCTCGATCCATCCTAGCCCCATGTCTCTGTGACTGGGTCGGCTTGGAGATGATTAGACCAGTAGAAGCCTCTTCTTCCAACAAGGCCTGGGCTCTGCCCGAACAGGTGCTAAGAGAGAGCTCTGCTTGGAGACAAACACACAGCGCTGCCTCTTTTTTGTATATTTTAACTGAAATGTTTGACAGGTATTTTATTTGAAGCAATGGGTCATTTGAAGGCACAGTGAAGGAGAAAACTATAAATACAAGTCATATTACCCACTGTGTAGGATTTTACACAAAGTTTTCTCCTTATCACTCCTCTGTTGTAATGTGTGTTTATACATTTTCTCACAAGTTCCTGTTTCCAATACAGTGATAATTCTACAAAATTATTATCCTTAAAGTGTAAGCAGTTGATCATCTTGAACAGAAAACCTGGGAAGCTGGTTCCAGATTCCTGACCCCGTTCTCCAACCTACTGACTCAGATTATCTAGAGATAAATCCTGGAATTGAAGGTTTGGAGACCACTGTTGTTACCCAGTGTCTATTATAAAGACATAATTTATATAGAAAACACGTTAAAATAAATCAAAACTTTCTTTAGGATTCCATTTCCTAATGTAAAACAGGCCCTCAAGATTCTATCCGTATGTATTCTTTGTTTTCAAGGGAAATTTTATTTCACAACCATTGTATTTTAAATACTTAATCCATTTTAACATAAATACAAATTATTAAAACAAAAGAGCCCTGCTCAAAAGAACTGTCACATAAGTGTCTAATGACGTTTTGTGCTTTGTTGATTTAATAAGGGCACATTTTCACCTGAAGCCGTGGTTTAGGAATCCCTCCTCTCCCCAGAAAACAAGTCACACTGAAGGACACAACATTCTTTCACAGGCTCCGTGTGGCTCCAAGCAATTGGTGCAGATCCAGAGTACCTGACAACACTGCTTTGGAAAACCAAATGGAAGATCTATAACCCAGGAGGAAAGGTGCAGATTGTAGGAAACAATGCCCACCTTTATTCTGTATCCACAAGTCTTGTACTTTGTTTTCAGGTGCTAGGAATTGAACCAAGGGTCTTGTGCATGCCAAGCAAGAGCCTGAGGCACATCCCTAGGCCCATTTTATCAAGACAACTTTTGGGGGGGGGGTCTTGACACAGGGTCTTGCTGTGAGATTCAGGCTGGCCTCCACCTCGAAGCGATCCTTCTGCTTCACCCTCCCAAGTCCTGCAATTGCAGGCCTGTGCCACACCACGCCCAGCTTATCCTCAAGCTAAATTGCCCAGTCTGCACTCGAAATTGTGATCCTCCTGCCTCAGCCTCCTATAGTTCTGGGACTCCTAGGGAGGAGCCTAAGATTTCAAAAAAAGTTCTGTTAGCGTGGCTCTACTCACCTGAGCCAGGAGCCCCTGGGGGGCCGACCCTCACCCTCAGTTCCCTGGGTACCACGGTTTCCTCTTCTTCGGACTTGGCCCTTGGATGGCCTAGAGCACCACACCTGCCATCAGCCCCAACCCGGCGGGGACCGAGCGCTTCTCCCGGCTCTTTCTGGGGCTCTGGCGCGCACACCCTCCCAAGACGGCGCTCAGATCACCCCATCCCCTCCCCGTCGCCTTCTTGGCTCTGCTTGCAACCACCTGCGTGCACCGTCCAAGGAGCCCTGGAGTCCCCACAATTGCGGCGGGCCTGTGGTGAGGGCGAGGTGAGCACGCAGGGCTTAATTGTATCACCATGAACAGAGCCCCGGACACGCCACTCGCTCTGGAGCCGCCCGCCGGCCCCTTTGCTCAGGCAGCAGGTGAGCACATGATGGTCTTGGCCACAGGTCCATGACCCGCCCCTGCTGCAGGCTCGGGTAGTAGTTCTCCAGCAGTGACTGGCTCTGGGCCCACTGGCCCCCGGGACTCTGGGCGGAGCTGGTTGGCTGGGGCGGCCGTGCCCTCCCCGCTGGCCCTCTGCAGGCAGGCTGCGGTGCAAAGCAAAGGCCAAGTCACCAATGCGCATGTGCCTAGCGGAGGCCCAGCGCGGGCCAGAGCCGACGGTAGTCCAGCAGGTGGAGTGGACATGCTTCCGGTAGTTGTTCTCCTCCAGCAACAATGCTGCCTCCTACCCACACTACTCACAAATACATGCGCTCTACTGAGCAACTGCAACATAAAAATACTTCTCTCCTACTGATGGAGGTGGGGTCAGGTGACCCACAGAAATGAACAGGACCCGCCCCAGGATCAGGGTAGGCCTTCTCTACCCACAGTCCACTCTCCCCAGCTGGCCGTCGTCCCTCCTGCCTCTGAACCACAGTGCTCCAATCTGGAAAGCATCAATGCTGAGTTTCTGCATAAGTGGTCCCTTTCACGTGCCCAGACGGCCTATCCTGCTCCAGCTGTTTTTGTTGATTACAGACTCTCTGAAATATTAGCTTTTAAAAGATAAAAGGTACTGCAGGAAAATAGCCCACATACATGTAGTTTTACCGAGAAGCATTTCTAGGCCATTAGAAACTTTAAAGACCTAATGTGTTACTTTTTTCAGACTGCAGATTCTTTTCTTTTTTTTTTTTTTTTGATATCGGGGATTGAACTCGGGTCCTTCTGCTTTTCAACACAACAGTAAGGCTTCACACTTCATCTGGACAGTTGCACCTCAGCAAAACCTCAGCCTTTCTTCACATCACTGCCTTAGCAATCAAACATAAAGTTCATGACCACTGGAAAACCTTGAAGGGGGCCCCAGCCTCTGGCTCTGATCTCTGCAGGAGAGGGTCATGTGATCACAGCTCCCAAGTGCTTACTGCAGCTTCACTCTAAACCGCAGTCACGGCACCTTTGACCCAGGGCATCCAGGTTTCCTCTGGATGTCAGACAGAACCTTCTAGATCCATCTGCAAAGGTTATCTGACCTCTTTCTTGGTCCTGTACAAACCTTGGATGGTTCCCCAAGCCCCCTTAAGGAAAAAAAAATTACAAAAAATGCTCCTGGGCCGGGGATTTAGCTCAGTGGTTTCGCCGCCTGCTGCGCAAGCGCAAGGACCCCAGTTTGATCCCTGGTACCAAAAAAAAAAAAGTGCTCTCTTGGGTTTCAGCTCAGGGAAGGACTCCAAAATCTTCGCTAGCCCTTCTTAGACATCTGAGACTGATAGTCCCCATTTACTCCTGAACTAGCCCCTTTCCAAAGGGCTGCACATATAAAGACTGCCATCTCCCTCGAGCTGAAGCTTTTCTCATTTCCAGTCCCCCTCAGCAACCTGGTGCCTGCTCACCCGCCCACCTCAGGCGTTAGCCTGGCAGCCCAGGGCCCTGAGCTGCAGCTGTGACTGAGCAAAGCTAGGGGCTGGAGCAGCACATGCTCCTGGGCCACTGCTCTTGCTCCAGTTCTGCTGCTAACAGGGCCTGGTGAAGCAATCATCACTGAAGAGCAGCAGCATCTTTTTTGCCCTTGAAAAGTTGGAGCTGCTGAAAACTTGGGATCCTCAGCAGTAACTCAGGTCTTCACATTTCAAGGAGGATAAGGCCCAAGACCTTGGAGCCACCAGAGTTGATCTGGCTCCTGGAGAGATGTATTTATATCCCAAAAGAGGAGAGGGAGAAACCGGGACCACTTTTATCCTGTCTCCAAGCAGCAAACTTTCTCTCCCTTTTTAGTTGTCTCTTCTTCCTGTACATAATAAAGAAAATCCATTTCTATCACTGTCCTTGAGACTGACCACCCGAGCAGGGGCCTTTCCACCTGGGTTTCATCATGTCAACCTAAGATAAGCACTGGGGCAAGGGGAGGACTAGAATCTTACTAGACTCTGGGTGGGGGAGTCAGAATTGGTCTCAGTCCTGGATTTTTGTGTTTTTGCCTAAGAAAGGGCAGTACACCAAGAAAGCATGAAATGGCAGTTCCTGGGTCAAGGTATACATTGGCAGGTTTGTGATGTGGTTACTAGGATGCAGTGCCTGCCTTTAAACAGCAGTCCCTGGGCTTGACTGATGAGCTCAAATAAGGGGCCCCTGTTTGGGGCAAGTCAACCCTAACCATGGCTGCTTCCACACAGGCCCTGCGAGACAGTCTCTTGGCCCCTTCTCCTGGCTGGAGCAAGGAAAAGCTGCTGCCTTTCAGGGGTTGGGGAAGTCTTAGATCTATAATTGTGTGGCCCAGCTCACAGATGCCCATTTTAGTTTTCAGCTTTGCAAAGCTGAAAACAGATGGTGTTACCCTGTGCAGTGAGGACTCAAAGAGTGTCAAAAGACAGCCTGTTTCAGGAATGTGAGCTTCAGGGACAAGTCAGGAATACAGGGAGCCTGTCTGGGTCACACACAGACTGTCACAGAATGGGCTGTCCTCTGACACGGCCATGGCTGACGGGCCATGCAGGGGAGAGGGGGATTCCCTAGAGTAAGCTGCAAGGCAAGGAAGGTCACATGACGAGGAGCAAGGCCCCTCAGTCTGGGCAGATGAGGCAGGTGGGACTCTGCACCTCCTTCTGATGCAGAGTCCCACTGTGGGGTGTTTGTGTCTGCTCTCTCTGGCTTCTGCAGCTTGGCAATTTGTGCTTTTCGTGTTTCTTCAGAAGTCAAGCAGCAGTTGGCTTCCAGCAGGACTCTGGCCCTCACCTTTTCCTGGCACTTGAACTCCTCGAGATGTCTGGTTATTCAGTGCCATTGCTGATCTTGCCTTTCACTAGATTATGACTGAGACAAGAAGGGCAGAAGGTGGGTGCAGGGGGACAGCAGAGATCTACTTCAAAAAGTATTTTAAACTCAGAATTCTGCTTTGACAATTCTCCTGAATGTGATTCAGCTGTCCCTTTCTCTCCTAACCATAATCCCAGATCAGACTGCCTGCAGAGGGTCTTGGGAGAGTCACACTTAATTAAGTCTGTTTAAATTGTGTGAAAATGACTTCCTGCAAGTGGCCTGAAGTGATCTGTGAAAATGGCTCGACAGTCACTTAATCCAGAAAATATCACAAAACCATTGGAATCAAAAGGTTCAGCCAGGTGTGGTGGCACGCACTGTGATAGCCAACCTGACTCCATCTTGTGCCTCAATGCCATTTTGTACCTGTGCTGGAACAAAGTGCTTGAACATGAACAAAGCACCCAAAACCCCCACATCCTGCTTGGCAGTAAACTTGCTGCAGTTGCAGGATGTTTTGTAGCTCACCTAGTGTGTGTGAAACTTCCTTGTACACCCCACTAACCTGGCATGATTCTGCTTCTCTAAGATTCTGTTTGCTCTCCCCTGTGCTCTCCCTACCTGAAAGCATGATTTAAAAGGAGAAATCAAACCGCTTCCCACTGCCGAGGGAACTTTCTGGGTACTAGTGCCCCTTGGTTGCTGGCTATAATAAATGGGCTCGGGGCCAGGGATTTAGCTCAGTGGTTCCGCCGTCTGCCTCCCAAGCACAAGGACTCCAAGTTCGATCCCTGGTACCAAAAAAAAAAATAAATGGGCTCAAATCCGACAGAGAGTGTAGCATATTTTTATTGTCTGAACTCACTTGTCCACAACAGCTGGAGGCCCCAGAGAGATGGCCACACTGGGTGGACTGGCCTCACTGTGATCCCTCCTGTCTGCTATAGAAAACTATAGGGGAGGCGACCCCTGAGACATTCCAGGGCCCTGTAGTCTCACTGCTGACATTGAAGGGACTGGAGAGATGCCTGAGACGCCCTCCAAATTTTCTGAAGCCCATCTGGTCTGTTAAGGATCCTTCTAGTTCTGGTGGGGAACAGCAGTCCTTGACAAAGGTGTTCTCCAGGCCCCTCCATAAGGTCAGGATGCTGACTGAGGTGGCCCCCTGGTCTGGTCTGGCTGTATGCCAGCCAACCTGGTAAATCCCCGGGGATAGGGTTGGAATGTCTTTAACCTCTGAATGACTGCTGTAAGAATGAATGAATGGCAATGGGCAGTGCAAACAATAGACTGTTCTGTCCATGTCCCACGACAAAGTGGGGAATCCCCCCCCACTTGGAGTTATGGGACTTCTTTGGGGTCATACTGTGGTTCTGTGGACACATCTAAGGAAGGCCAAGTGGGTGCTCTTGCAACAAGATAAATACACCCTAGTGCCGGGGATTTAGCTCAGTGGTTCCGGCGCCTGCCTCAAAAGCGCAAGGTCCCAAGTTCGATCCCCAGTACCAAAAAAAAAAAGATAAATACACCCTAAACCGTGGACGGTCCTTAAAGTGGCTGAGAAGCCGATGACCAGTCAACTGACTGAGTGGTTGGTTCCTGCCACAGAGGAACACCTCCCCTCCCTTTCTTTGTCTGTCTATACATTGTAAGCACTAAGGCTTTTCTCTGTGTCTGGACATTGTCTCTTTTTATTTGTTCTTGCAGCTCCTATTCTTGGGTATCTCCTGCCTGCCCTAAGTCTCTCTACCATGGGGTCATTATCTTCACAACCTGTTACACCCCTGGTCTGCATGCTTAAAAATTTTCCTCAGGATTTTCTGATGATTATGTGTGTGGGTTTTTTTTGGGGGGTACCGGGGATCAAACTTGGGACCTTGCGCTTTCGAGGCAGGCACCAGAACCACTGAGCTAAATCCCCGGCCCTTCTGATGATTATGGAGTGAAATTATTAAGGGACAAACTCCATACTTTTTGTGAGCTTGAGTGGCCCTCTTTTGGTGTGGGCTGGCCCTCTGAGGGTTCCCTGGACCCTGGCTTGGTTCAAGCAGTTTGGAAGGTTGTTACCAGGTCACCAGGACACCCCATCAGTTCCCTTACATTGACTCCTGGTTTATTCTAGTGCAGCACCCTCCTCCATGGCTAAAGGCTTGTGCTGCAAACACCTATTCAAAGGTCCTTGTTTCCAAAAGCTGCTCTCCCCCTTGCAGGCAAACTCCAGAGACAGAAACCTGTTCTGCAGCAGTCTGATGCTGAGGAAGTCCTCCCCCACCCACCTCCGTATAACCCTAGTTCAACCCCCTCTCCTGTCCATCCTGACCTGTCTGCCCCCAACTCCCTCGTTTCTTCCTCTGCTTTCCCTGCTACCTCTCTCCCCCCATATGAGAAAGTCTCTGATCCTGGCAGGAGGTCACCACCTTGGGAAGATGTATTCTAGAGATTCTCTTTCCTTTGAGGGAGGTCCCTCCTCCCAATGGAGCAGGACCAGGAATCCGCCCATTCCTGGTATAGATTTCCTTTTCCACTTCTGACCTCTTCAACTGGAAAACCCAGAATCTACCATTCTCTGAGAAGCCCCAGGTTTTGATTTCCCTGATAAGAGTCGATCTGTAGGACTCACCTACCAACCTGGGATGACTGTCAGCAATTGTTATTGACCCTGTTCACCGTTGAGGAACAGGACAGGATTAGGTTTGAAGCTACAAAGTTCTTATGAGGGGACACTCAGAAGAGGAGCCCCACGAATTGCTGAAGCATGAGCTTCCCTCAGAGCCGCCTGAATGGGATCCAAATTCCTCAGGGGGAGGCAGGCTTTACTCAGGTTTCACCAGAACTTGTTAAACGGGACTCAAGCAGCACCTCAGAAACCCATAAATCTGTCAGAAACCACTGAAGTGACACAAGGACCAGAGGCCCCCAGTGTGTTCCTCATGGATGAGTAGATAAAAAGGCTTAAGTAACATCAGGTAGTGCCAGAGCCAGAGCTGATACCAAAGCTCTTTCAGATTCTGGAAGGCTTCTTCTTGGTTGATCTCATGGTGGGTCCCCACTGACTTCTACTGCCCTAACTGGGACTGTGTAAAGATTGTCTCCTATAGTGGGGGACCAAATGTCACTAATGATATCACAGTTTGGAAACATGGGCGCCAACTCACAATTCTGATACAAAGGCCCCGGGACTCTAAATGGGCCACAGGATGGAATTGGGGCTTCTGCTTCTGGCTCCCTGGAGGACTAATTCCTGGCCCAAGGGAAATCATTACCTTTCAAACCTGGTTCCTAAGCCAAGCACCAGGACAGCCAGTAGGACCCTTAATGAAGGCAAAGGACCCATTACTTGAGCCTCACCCTGTTGTCCCTCCTTCAAAGCATCCACTCTTAGCTACCAATAAAACAGATCCCCCACATGTACTGCCTCCCTCCCTTTTCTCCATGTTGGGAGCCATCCACACTATGTTGAACCTGACTCAACCACACCTGGCTCAGGACTGTTGGCTTTGTCTACAAGCAAAGTTTCCTTACTCTGTGGGTGTGGGAGTCTTGGGTTCAATCAAAGTCTCAAGTACTGCCTTAGCATGCACTTCTGCAAAGCCTCCCTTGACAATTGGTAAAGTTTATGGAAATACAACCTGTCTGGCAACTTCTTCTTAGGATATGAGCAACTCCCCTTTCCATGCTATGTGTAGCCAAACCATGATTCTGGAGACCTTGAAGGCTTATTTTGCCCCTAGTTGTACTTGGGTAACTTGTACCGAGGGACTCACTAGGTGTGTTAGAATTCCTGAGGGGGATACTAGACCTGAAGTCTTGTGCATCCTGGTACAAGTTCTTCCTCGAGTTTATGTGTATGGAGGACTGCAGGGATGGGATTTCATAGCACCCCCAGGACTACCATACAGACAGAAGTGAGCAGCCCCTATAGTCATTCCAATTTTGTTGGGATTGGGGGTAGCTGGCTCAGCAGCACTGGGAACTGCTGCATTGGCTAGAGAACTTGGAGTCTCAGCTTTGGCCGAACAGGTAGACACTGACCTATGAAGCCTGCAATATGCTGTTGAGACTCTTCACTCCCAAGTAGAGTCACTAGCTGAGATAGTCCTCCAGAATGGAAGGGGGCTTGATCTAGTGCTCTTGTCACAAGAAGGATTATGCACTGCTCTAGGGGAGGCATGTTGTTTCTATGCTAACAAGTCTGGTGTAATCCACCATATCTTTCAAAAGATCAAGGAAGGGCCAGGGATTTAGCTCAGTGGGTCTTCTGCCTGCCTCGAAAGTGTAAGGTCCCGAGTTTGATCTCCCGTATCAAAAAAAAAAAAAAAAATCAAGGAAAATCTAGATAGATGTCAGAAGGAGAAAGAAAATAAAAACTCATGGTATCATAACCTGTTCAACCAGAGCCCTTGGGTAACTACCCTTATCACTGGATTGGCTGGTCCGCTCATCCTGCTTTTTCTCGAGCTCTTGATTGGGCCCAGTATTCTTTTTTTTTTTTTTGGTACCGAGAATTGAGCTCAGGACCTTGCGTTTTCGAGGGAGGCACCAGAACCACTGAGCTAAATCCCCGGCCCCTGCCCTTGGATTCTTAATTGGATAATCAACTTTGTAAAACACCACATGGCCTCTGGTACACTGATGTATATGAGATCCTACTACAATCCCCTGTATAACCCCCTGCCCAATAAGAGGCTCTCACTGAGTCAATGCTTTGATATCATGCTTAGAGGAGTTGGGAATGTGATAGCCAACCTGACACCATCTTGTGCCTCAGTGCCATTTTGTACCTGTGCTGGAACAAAGTGCCTGCACATGAACAAGGCATCCAAAACCCCCACATCCTGCTTGGCAGTAAACTTTCTACAGTTGAGGGATGTTCTGTAGCTCACCGAGTGTGTGTGAAACTTCCTTGTGCCCCCACTAACCTGGCATGGTTCTGCTTGCTCTCCCCTGAGCCCTCCCCAGCTGAAAGCATGATTTAAAAGGAGAAATCAAACTTCTTGTCATTCCCGAGGAAACTTTCTGGGCGCTAGCCCCCCTCGGCCGCCGGCTATAATAAATGGGCTCAAATCTGGCACAGAGTGTGGCGCATCCCTATTGTCTGAACTCACTCATCCACAACAACACCTATCATCTCAGCACTCTGGGAGGCTGAGGCAGGAGAATAGCAAGTTGGAGACAATAAAAATAATTTTTTCTTTTCTTTAAAAACATTTATCGAGGACAATCAATATTCTCCATGAGGAATAAATTATTTTGAAGCTAGAAATGTTCCTCTTCTCATGCTAGGAAACAATTTTCTTCTTAGAACAAAGAGAACTCCCCCTGTTCGCTGGCCTTTGGTACACACAGCAGAGGCCACTGGCCCGCCTGAAGGCCCAC